GCAATGGTCTGGCCTTCTTGTTCCATGGCTGCAGTAGCCTTTGAGTACTTACATGGTTACTTAAGGCTGTCCTCACTCAGCAGAGCGCTCTAGAGCTCTTTTCTCAAAGCAAAGGCTTTCAAAGAATATACACTTTCACATTCCTGAGCCTGCAATGAGGAGGGTCTTGCTGATTCCTGAGAGGTCCTCAAGTTCTTTTTGTTCTGGTGCAAAATACCTGATTTCTTTTTAATGGCATGAATCTCTCCAGCAACCACACTTTTCTTGGCCCCATGCTTTTTTTGAAATTCAAAATTTTCAAATCTTTTCCTCTATTTTTTTGTCCCTGATTCTCATTATAAATCTGGCTAAAAGCACCCAGCAGTACTGTTACTGCCTGAACATTATACCACCATGAAATTTCCTCCACCAGATAAATTACACCACTATCTTTAAATTCAGCCTCACACAAGGTCTTGGGATACGGACAAAATGTAGAGAAGTTTTTTACCAAAATTTAACACACATGGCCTCTAGTTGAACTCCCAACAGTCCTCATTCCTATCTTAAACCTTATGAGCACTGTCTTTACCGTTCACATTCCTATCAGCATTCTAATCTTCTGAACCTACCGGAATTGTCCATCAAACTTTGCTTATAGCATTGTAACCCAAATCTCCAAACTTTTCCAAACTCCTCCTGCAAAGAAATTCCAAAAGCTTTTTAACCCAATTGTCAAGTATACTCAAAGCAGCAACTCCAGTATCAGTCCCTATTTTTTGTTATTGGTTACCTTTCAATTACTGGAACAAAGTAGTTGACATCCACAACTAAGCTGAGAGGAAGTATATTTTCACTTGTGCTTTCAGTCCATAGTTGGCTGCCTCCAAGGCAGAAACGTCATGGCAGAAGGGCATAGTGGAGGAAAGCTGCCTCACTCTTGGCATCTGTGAAGTAGAAAGCAGAAGAGCCAGAGAGGAAAGAGCCAGAGACCAGATATAGTACCCAAGGTCACATCCCCATGACCCACACAGACACATCCAGAAACATGCTTTACAAATTTTCTAGAAGTTTCTCAATCCAATCAGGTTGACAATCAAAATCAACCTATCTTTTACTATCAAATCAACTGTACTGTCTATAAAAAGAGATGAGTATATCTTTAGTCAGGCTTGTTGCAAAAGTTAAATTAGATTATATATATGTGAAAGTACCTAGAATCTCTAGCACATAGTAGGTATTTTTGGTACATTAGCCAAATGAATAAATTAAGAGAGCAAATGAACCAACAATGCTTCCATTTTTCCTTCCTGTCTGATAAAGTCTCCACCCATTAGAATGAAAGCCTCATGAAAGTTAAGATTTTTCCTTCTCTCTTCTAGGGATTGAATCCCAAGCCTGAACATATGCTAGGCAAGCACTCTGCAATGGCATTATACTCCCAGCCCAGGGATCAATTTTGCCTTTTTCATTCATACTAAATCATTTAGTGCCTAGATTAGTTCTTATTATACATAGTAAGTGTTTAAATAATGTTAATAAATGAATAAGTATTACAACCATTATTACTTCCCTCTGACCCATAATTTTAATTTCAAGATAAAAGGTCTATTTAAGGTCAAAGTGTATAGCTTTCTTTCAAGGGGTATTATTTGTAATCTCATTCAGAGAAAAGTTAAAGATCAGGGCCACCCCAGATGGGTGTGGGACTCTCACAATTTAACCTGTCTTCACTGCCCAAGGTAAACTCACTTGAAAGAATACTGCACTGGAAGCAACTTTAATAAGCCTCTTTGAATATCATTATAGACAGGAATTTTGGAAGTGGTTTTAATTACATTCCAAAAAGAGGAATTAAGGTACAACACCTACATGGCCATGATTCCCAGTTTGAATCAGGACAGCTAACCTAGTTGTTCTACCCAAAGGATGACCCTGTTAAGACAGCCAAAGTGTATAAATGAGTAACCCTTAAATATAAAGTGTAGTCAATGGTTCTTTTTAAAATAATAACATTAAACTCACTGATATTTCTTTATTTAGACAGAAATAATTGGAGTTATGGAAAAAGTGTCAATCCTGGATGTACCAAGAGTATGTGTTACATATGGGAACGTCTCTGTCCTGTGCTGCTAAACGGGAAAAATGTTGACAACCACTGTCTCAACTCAGGCTTTTAAAGTCATTTAAGAAAGTTGTTCAGATTTGAAAGCCACCTAACTACATTATCTGAAGCATACAGGATTTTAAGTTAGTGATCATGATGATATAATTCAGATAAATTGGTTTGAGCCTCACTTGGATAATTTTCATATTCAAATCCACATATTTGGAGAGTTATAGAGTAATTTTTAGTACAATATTCTTTTCACTCTTAGTTTCTTGATAACTCCAAAGAAGAGAGTGCATTCTGAGTACAGAACAAGAATCAAGTCCTTTTCCCACTGTTGTTTCTATCACTTTACACAGATGACAGCTGCTTCTGAAAACATTCCTTTCCAGTTCTCAAACCCTTTAAAACATTATCCCACCTCCAGTCAAGAGATCTGTCTTTTCTTCCTCCACCTTTCTGATATCATGGTCGATCTACTGAGTCTCAGAGATGGTTACTTTGGGCACAAATGGCTTTCCTTTCTAGTCCTCAATGCTGATCAAGACAGATATTCTTTTTCCTTTTTGAGACAGGGTCTCGCTGTCTAGTTTAGGCTGGCCTCAAACTCAATCAGTAGCCCAGGCTGGCCTCAAATTTAGGTTGATTCTCATCCTTCAACCTCCCAAATGCCGAGATTACCAACACGGATCACCACGCTCAGCAAGACAAATAGCCTTTATTGTTAGAATTTCCTACAAGTGACTTGAAGGAATTTTGTTTCTGTTTTTAAATTTTGTTATTTTCTAAATATTTTCTCCCTTTTTCATTATACTTTCTATTTGTACATTTGACTTCATAAGAAATAAATTAATGACTTTAGAAATAAAAGGTGGTAAGTGATTTTATAAGAAAAAAGTTGATTTTAAAAGCTTATATATACTCATTAGAAAAAACTTTAAAAAATCAGAAAAATAGAGGAATAATATAATCATGAAGAACACCTTGACTTTAGTGCATTTTCTTCTAATGTTCTAAATATAGGCATACACACATTATACCATCTAGTTATTTAACATGTGTTTTTAGTCTTTTCTCTCTGTTACGAGGGATCAAACTTAGGACTTCATGCTGGCCATGCATGAGCTAAATCCCCAGCCCTAGTATTTTCTTTTTATTAAACATTCCTAAAAATATTATTCTTTTTTTAATTGGAATACTTATTTTTTTTCTCTCATTGAGTTTTTGGTACATTTTAGGTATACAGTACAGTTACATTCATCATTGGGATCTTGTACCTTTACATGACAGGTCTTGGTTCTCATTTTTTCCCCATATCCCTGCCCTCCCTTCAGCCGCTCCTCCCTTCCCTATTTACAAATAACTTTATTTCCATTTTTTTCATTTTCTCATATTTTTTTCTTTTCCCTTATTACCTTTCCCCTACCCTTCCCACTTTCCCTACACTTTTATACTACTCAGCCATAAAGAAAGAAATTAGATTCACTCATAGGAAAATGGATACATACTGAGGATATACTCCTAAGTGAAATAAGTAAGTCACACGTGTAAATACTGAATAGTTTCTCTGGTGTGAAAAATTATAATGGTACATAAGATCCTAATGATATAATTGACAATGTGAAATAGGAAGAAAAGGCCTAAAATATTATTCTAATGGATCCATTGCACTCTATTGTATAGATATATCATAAGTCATTTGTCTGTACCCGTTATTAGAAATTTATAATCCCTAATTTTCAAAACCTTATAATTAATGTTCACTATCTTTGCATCTATAGCTCCTTTATATCACAAAAATTGGAATTCCAGAGCCAAGTATTATAAACATTTTTCTAAATTTTATGAAAAATTTCAATTGTAACTCAAAATAAGCATCAATACAATAAATTCTCTTGCATACGTCAACACATAGTCATCAATCAAAATTTGGCAACATCTTTAAGTTTGTTGATATGCAGTACATTGTCAAGTGCTTTCCATAAATGTACTAACTTTCACTTTGACCTGCATTGTGAAAATCCTACAAGTATTCTAGACAGTAGTGAGCATTTTCAATATCTGATCCTTGCTAGCAAAAGTAGCAAAGATATTTGGCCAGGTATTTCAAACCTACATTTTTAATATATGGCTTGTTATTATCAATTGTGTCCAGTTTCATAGCCTTTAAGATTCATTTCATCTCACAATGAAGTTACTATCTTTCAAGACTGTCTGAATATCTTCACTTGAGCAAAGGAATGTTGGCTTCACCTGACAGTTCTGCATTTGAAGAAGGGCTGTGAGCTGATCCTCTTCTGTGAGAGTATGCTTGCTGTAGTTGGGGAGCCCAAACCCAATTTTGATCATCTGGTTACTCATCAGGACTCACTGTGAATAATGATGATTAAGGTTGTTGGCAGCTTGTAATCTCATGCCAAGAGTTTCCATATGTCAGCCTTCTTTAAGGTCTTTATCTTTGCTGAACAGACCAAAATTTAGAATATGTAATTAAACACAGTTTATTATATACATTATATATTTATTATATATTGAGTATCTGTCGCGAGCATCTATTTAGGAATCGGATCCCAAGCTGGGAGCTCTGAATGGCTCCCCGGCTCCGAGGTAATAAGGACTACAAGTGATATGTCTTTTAAGGAGGTTTATTGTCACACAAGCAAAGCTATATCAGAACAGATACCACAATGACCATAAACAGAGTATTCTAGTTCATACCTCTAACATTAAGGCAAGTATAATGTTAAGATATATCAGGATTATACGACCTGAGTCCGTGGCTTCGAGTGCTGGGCTGTCGAGCAGAGGTCCGAGCTGCGACGCGTGATCGGTCTTGGTTCCAGCAGAGCCTTCGGCGTCAGTTGGTCAAGTCGCGATGAGTGGCGACGTGTGACGGTCAAGCCGGGTCGCGTTGGACGACGACGACTGGTCTTGGGTTCGCCCCTTTTATATCCTTAAGGCCTCTTATCGCTTAGGTAGCACACTCACGATCGATTAACACCTGGTTTCTACATATGGTTGATGACCTAATTGCTATCTACTACATACAGGGATGACTTCACTCTTTGGTTTCACTTTTGGTCTTATCTATCACTGACACTGTCAGCTGGGTTTGACAGCTTGGCCTGTCAGCCTGCAGCGTGGGGAATTTCCACTTGTTGCTTACATGTTCACTACATTCCACCTCCTGACACCTGAAATGATGTCAACATGAAAGATGTCACTGTTAGGATTCCCTGTTTGATTTTGGGAATCCAGCTGGTTCGCAAAACGGGGGTTTACAAAGTCATATCGTCGCATCTAACATCCATTTCTTGGTATAGAACTAGTTACAATAACATCAATAATTAATAATTGTCAAACATTACCAAATCATGGCAATTAATAATAATAACAATGATTTAACATAAAACTAGTCTCAATAATTATAATTTAACAATAGTATCAATAATCAGTAACATGGTTTAATAATGATTTAACTATGATCCAAGCATCCAACATGATTTTAACAATATCATGTTAAATGCTTAAATCACAGCCAAGTCATTGACAACAATAATGTTTATAAAATTCATACCATGTGGTGTATGCGTTGTATTCAAACAATAGATCTTGCAGGATGGGTTTCAACATAATTCTGGTAAACCATGATTCTATAGATCCTAAGATGTAATTTGATATGTCTGGGTTTTTGTAATACCAATCTGCCGTTTCTATTAGAAATTGTTGTGCTTCCTCTGGGTTATTTTTTATGAGCTCTTTACAGAGAGTGTAGCTATAATAGCATCCTTTACATAGGAAGCATGATATAAGGCTTGAAATCATATGTAAATAACAGTTCATAGGGTTAGGCTCTGGACGTTCTTCTATATGAAAAAGGAAGTGTTGTAATAATGATGTTAATTTATCCTCATCATGTGGGTTTTCTGTAAATTTTGATGCATTTTGATTCACACAAAAATAACAATTTGTTCTGAATATATCCCTTTTATATAATGTAATGTTAATTGCATCTGAATGTTTCTTATAATAGTATCTTAATGTTTTTTGGCGTCCTTTGCGTTGTAGTAAATCACATCGGCGTCCAGAAATATTTCTGTTTCTCTTGATGTGCCTTTCCCTGGGAGAATTTTCCTTAGTCTTCATTTCCTGAAAAGAATGGCTGGTACAGTTATCTTAGTATGCTTAATCAATCAATATTTGGTAGCAATGAGTGGTGTCTAAGTACACTCAGATAACGCATGGTTCTGGGTAAACTTAAATTGTTGTTCTGTCTATATCTTCTGTTTAAATCATACCATGTAATGTAAGCTCTATATTCAAACAATAAAGCTTGTAAGATAGGTCTTGTCATTATTCTAACATACCAAAAATGTAAGGTTTTTGGTGTAAGTACCTGTCCTTTTTGGTTATCAGATTGCCAATCTCCTGTTACTAATTGTTCACAATCTTCAGGTGTATGTCTTATTAAATATTTACAGAGCATGTAATTGGAGTTGCTTCCATTACAGATATAACATGAGGTTAGACTTGCTATCATATGTAAATATCTTTCTAATGGATGTGGTAAAAACCAAAATTCAGTATGGGTCATGAAATGATGTATTAATAATAGTAATCTATCTTCTGTGCTATTTTCTATAAATCGTGTGCCAAATCTGTTTTTACAAAAATAACAATCATCTGGTGTCTGATTAATAGGTAATAGTCCTATATCACAAAACCATTGACGAAAGTTTTCCACATGTTTATCAAAATAGTATTGCAACACTGTCTTGGTTGCGTTTCCTTGCATTAAGTCACATCTTCTTCCAGAGCGGTTGATTCCTTTTCTTTTAGGTGTCATGGTGACTGTAAGATAAGCTTTGAAAAGGGGATTATTTTCAGTAGTAGAGTTTTTAATATGCTGCTAAATGTGGGTATTTATTATCTTTTAAGCTTAATCCTAGTATTAATTTTTATGTTAAATTCTGTGGTAATTTCCATGCTGTCTTATTTCCCCAGGGATCTATCTTGTGACATTTTAGAGGGTTTTGTTTATTTAAATTTGTTAAATTTAAATCATATATGTCTGAAAGAGAAAATGTCCAGTTGCCTTCCTATATTGTTCACAATTCTGTAACCATGCATATTCTATGTAATGAGTGTAGTTTTGGTGCTAGCTTGTTTGTGTGGAGTCTCTAAAAATTTCCCAAAATTGAAGCCATCTATTAATAATGTTTTTGTTAGTACTGGCTTAAACTTGTCTGTTGATATGGGAGTAGGGGTAGTAGCAGTAGCAGTAGCAATATCAGTAGCAGTAGCAGTTGCAGTAATACTGCTAGTAGCATGCACTTAGATATTTTATGTGTGATCCATAGTATGAGTGTATGAGCCATAGTGAGTGCATATGTAATTGATGTTATGAGATGTTATGAGATATCCTTTAATATAGTAAATCTGAGGTCGCCCTTACCTTGGGTTATCCAGATATTATTTATGGGTCCAGGGGCGATAACCTCAGTTTTTATATATATGGTGTTATTGTTCTTATTCCTGTAGACACAAACATGTAATTATGTTATTTGTATCCAGGATATGACTTCCTCAGTGGTCAGTTGAGGTTGGGTCATCATCCTAATAGACATCAAGCTTGTGTGTATTTTTATGTTATTTTCCCCATGAGGTGCAAATCTCAGTATCCCGTGCACTGGACTAAGAATTACATCTCATAGGAAGAACAACACAAATTTTTAGATGTTCCAATGAGATCGGTGTTCAATGACAGTTTATGACTATGGTGTCTTATAGTACGTCTCAAGATGTGTAATCAATATTCACTCACCTGCGCAATACCGAGTGAAGCCTGACTACACAATCCCGTGATTACTTATTAAGTTATGAAAGTTATTGAGTTATTATAAGTTATGAAACAATACCAAAACAAACAATTATAACAAATATTTGCTTTGCATTGTTGCCCCACAACCCATGATCACCTATTTCTTATGATTATTTGTTCGTTACATCTTTGATTACCATTTTACAAATTCAAATAACAATTTCATCATCAATCAGTATAGTTGTAATAATCTATTTGATGTTCCATCCCTCCGCCGTCATCATCTCTATTTTATCGATGAACAGTAGAAGGACCGAAACACCACCCAGATGGGTTTCCTAAGTGTGTTCATTATTCCTTTTATCTTAAAATCTTAATATCTATTGGTAATGTTATCAATCCATTCAGTCACACTACAATTCTTCTATTATAGTATAGCTAAATAAATCTACAACGCCACCAATATCCTATATAATTTTCTTCAATCTTTCTTTTTATTAACTTTAGTTTTAGTCTTTTTCATTTTCTTTGACTATACAGCATTTTCATTTACTATACATCATAATTCAGTACGTAAATTTAGTGTCTTTTCCTCTTTGTTCTTAATTTGCCTATTTGCTATATGATATTGGTGGTACCTGTATTTATTATACAGGCCTTTCTTGTTCATTGGTCAGTTAAAATCTAACCATCCTCTGGCCTATAAGCTGCCGTTTGCTATGATGCCTTGTTGATGATCCGTCGATAACATATCTTGACTCACATTGTCAAGTTCCCTTGTTCCTTATGTCTGAGTTCACAGGCGATTGTAATCAGTTCGCGTTAGACGTTCCACCCCCTGGGCGCAGAATCGCGTCCGAGGACTGTGAAAACTGTCCTTGCGCTGATTCTCGGTCATCACTAGGGAGACTTGGCAAGTGTATATTTGTCTTATGGTCGTGAAACTGAATTGATCGGCAAGCTTTATATGTAGCCCAGATGGTCCTCTCGGGAGAGAGTATTTATTTTCTGACCATGAGAAATTTATAATAAGAGCCAATTGATATAGTTCTTTTCTCCAATTTTATTTCTTATTGTCTGTAGTCCTTTAGCTATAAAAATATTTTGTTTTCCAATATATAAATTAAATAATTATGCTGTTTGGTCTTTGAGATAATGGTCCGGACTTCTAAGTTATAATTAAAACCATATAATATCCATTTTTTCATATTATTATTAATTCTTAACTGTTATTAAGTTGGTCATATATTAGTTATATGTTTTTAATTTTTCTTATTTTAAATGACAACTTAACATGTACTATATAACATATACTTACATACTTATACTTATACTTATTACTTATATACTTATTACTTATATGTATACTTATATATTTATATACTTATATACTTATATACTTATAGTTATGCTTATTCATACTTATACTTACTTATACTTATATTATATATTATACTTTATTATATATTTTCTTATTTTAAATGACAACTTAACATGTACTATATAACATATACTTACATACTTATACTTATACTTATTACTTATATACTTATTACTTATATGTATACTTATATATTTATATACTTATATACTTATATACTTATAGTTATGCTTATTCATACTTATACTTACTTATACTTATATTATATATTATACTTTATTATATATAATTTTATCTATATTATATAATATCATATATATTATACTTACTTATACTTATATTTATACTTATACTTATTCATAGTTATACTTATACTTATATACTTAACATATACTATGATTAATATATTAATTGATTACTTAATTGCTTAATGATAATAATGATAATATAATCACTTAATAATTACTTAATAATATGTTCTATATAAATCATATATTATATATATATATCCTATATAATTATAATTAATTATCCTATAATTATCCTATAATCCTATAATATTTATATTTTGGTCATAACCTTCTATATGTGGACATTTCTTATAATAGAAACTTATCTTGTTAATTCTAATTTATCTTGGATACCATTTTCATTTTCCATTGTCTTTCAAAGGTGGTACTTATATGAGTTCTTTTGGCAATAGCCTTCCTCTTTAATCATTAACCTAGGATGTTTTATTGCTCTTCCAGTGTTTTAAATTTTTTATGTTTTAAATTTTTATGATTTTATGATGGTGTGTTGTTAGCCGATCTAATAATGATTGAATATTACCTCCTGACTGATCTGGACTCCTCCCGTTTGGCTGTGTTGGCCCTTTTTGCCACAGCCCCCTATCCTATCCATTTTGGGCTATTTGGGACGTAAGCTCTCTAGCATACGTCCCGGACGCCAGCTCTCGAGCAAGCTCTCGAACACACGTCCTAGACTCCTTCTCTATTCCCGAGGTGTGGGCCTGTTTGTGGGTAGCAGCCGATCCTGGACCACCCGAGGTTGCGAGCCTCTATGCCAATTTTTCGGAGTCAACGCAAAAACCTTCGGGAAAGAGGGAATGGGGAACGATGTTCATGGGGGATGGCCAACTCCTTCCTCGGTTCCTCCATCCCTATCTTATATGTGACCGGTCACTTGCCCGTAAATTCATTTTCTTCAGAACTCATTAATCATAAATCCATTTCCTTTGGTACTAAGCTAATAGATTTCATATATAAATAGAGAGATATAATGGCTCTATTCAATTATTGACAGACCAATAACCGAGTAGATGTATTCAATTATTGACAGACCAATAATTGAATAAAAGGTTAGATATAGATAGATTTAATCATTGACAGACCAATGATTAAATGGTAGATTAGTAATTGAAATCTTTTCCCTAATAGTACCATTCTTCAGCGCTTTTAAGTAATAATCCAATCAATCTTATGTTTATAATATGTAATATGTGGTAGAGTTAAAGAGTGGAAATAGCCAAAAGAAGGTGGAAAAATATGGAAGACGTTTGTATCCATTATAGCTGCAGCCTTATCAACTAATTATATTAAAACAACCTTAATTTCTATATAACAACCTTATAAACCTTGTAAAAACCTTGTAAAACCTTGTAAAACCTTGTAAAACAACCTTATTAACTAATTCTAATCTAGAGTAAATCTAAAAGAAAAAGTATTAAGCCTATAAAACAGTATAAGTTAAGGTCAACGTTTCCTGTGACCTAGTAGGTGTCTCTGTCATTACTGAAGTCTCTGACAGTGATGAGGTCTGTCCACTATCTGAGCTTTCTGAATCAGAAATTTCTATAATTGTTGGGCTCTCTGTTCTGTCCATTAGCATTGCATCGGAATCATTTTGTTTAGTCCCTGTTACCATTGCTATTGGTTTATGGCACTGATCGGGGTCATTTTGTTCGGTTCCTGTTGCTATTGGTTGGTACAACTGATCGGAGTCATTTTGCATAGTTTCTATTTCACTTTCGAAATAGTCAGAATCAGTTGCTGGACCGGGCTGATCAGGATTTGGAGTGGTTAGTAACCTCCTTGTGAAAGCAACATGGTGCTTTCTGTAAGGGGAGTTACGTGGTGGTATGGGGAATTTTGGACAGTGAAGTATTTTGGCGCGAAAAGAAATTCTTGGTGACTTTCGTTTTCTGAAGCTCTGTAAAAACTGTATTGCGTTATTAATAGATCTCTTAGAGTCTAAGGTCATATTGAAGGTATTACTTTCTGATTTTAGACATAATGAAATGTTAACATTATCAAATGAGGTTTTTAAGAGTTCTTCCATTTTGTAAGTTTTTTGCCTCCTTTTTCTGAGATATCACTTGTAATCTCCAAAATATAGAATCAAGTAATTTTTAAATTCAATTTTCAAATTTCTATTCTTTTAATGGCCAATTTTGTTCCTGTTTCAATTCTTTTGATGGCCAATTTTATTCCTGTTCTTGGGTTTTTTTCACAAGAACCTATTCCCGCACCCTTAGGGAGGGTGGTGGTTTCGGTTCATTTGTTAGTGACTTACTCCCGCACCCTTAGGGAGGGTGGTGGTTTCAGTTCGTTTGTTAGTGGCTTACTCCCGCACCTTTAGGGAGGGTGGTGGTTTCAACCTATGTTATATTTTGTTAGGCTTTCCCGGCTCATCAACCCGTTCTTCCTCAGTTTCCTGAGTTGACTTCGTGGAGTTGGTAATCGCCCAACAAGGTGTTAGTAATAATTATTATTATTATTATTTTTT